ACCAATGCCTACGTGTCAAGAGGAACCGGCTCTCATCTATCGGCCGACAGATAGGCCAAACTTCAGAACTGAATTACAAAAAAAATCCTGAAGAACAGAAAGGAATAAAACCCCAGCCCCAAACCCACAGCATTTTCAGTCCCCTTTCCTCTACTCTTTTTACTACCTTTCTATCCGAGAAGAAAAGAGTCCTTTGAGGAACGAGACTTTCGACACCGCTCCCAGAGCAGCACAGGGCTTGTTTTTATGTGACAAAACTATTCCCCTTCCTTTCCAGCCACCTCCAAGGCGATCCTGTGCGCTGCCAGCCCCGAGTGAAACCCAAGTCTCCTGCCTGGCAGGGTGGAGCATTCCCTCCAGGCTGCGGCTCAGTTTTTCACTGAACTATCGCAACTTGCTCGAACTTTTGGGGGTTTAAAAAAAAAAAGAAAAGAAAGAAAAAGTAGGGAGAGAAGGCAGCGCTCGGATCCACTGGCCTGCTGGCGGGGGGGACGGGGCTAGGCGGCGATAACGGCACTCGAGATGTTTAATGTGACTTCAAGCCCCGGAGTAAATAGGCCAGCGCGGTGCCCTTCGCCGCCTCACCTCCCTAGGCCGCTTCTCAGGGTTTGCTTGCCTTTTTTTTTTTTTTTTTTTTTTTTTTTTTCATTTTTACCACGCCGGCGCCGAGCAGCGCAGCATCCCGCGCCCGCTTCCGCAGGGCCCCCCCCCCCCCCCAACCCCCCCGCAGGTGGGAGCGCGGCCCCCGGCAGCACCGCGCCGGCCCCGCCGCCTCCCTCCTCCGCCTCCGCGGCGCCGCCGCTCAGCCCCCGCGGAGCCCGCCCGGCGCCGCGCCAGCCCCGCCGGGGCGCAAGGTCACCGCGGGCCGGCGGCTGGCCGGGCACCCGAGCCCCTACCTGCCACCGCCGCTTCCCCCCCCCCCCCCCCCTTCCCGCCCCACGCCACCATGGCGGGCCACGCCGCGGCCGGCGCCGCTCGGCACTTCCCACCTCCCGCCGCCGGCGGAGCTGCGGCCGCCTCCCGCCTTCCCCCCTCTCCCCCCCCCCAGCGCCCGGAGGGGCGCGCAGCCCCGCTTACCCGCGGCGCGGGGAGAGGAGGCGGCGGCCGAGGGGGAGCTGCCGCCGCTGCCGCCGCCGCTGCTGCTGCTGCTGCTGCTGCTGCTCCCGCTGCCGCCGCGGCTGCAACAAAGGACTTCCGCCCCGCCGCGCCTGCTGCTGCCGCAGCGCCGGCTCCGCCGCGACCGCACGGAGCCCGGACCCCTCCCCTCGGCGGCCGGCGGCTCCCGGCCCCGCCGCTGCCAGCGCTGCTGCGCCGCCGCCAATGCCGGGCCCCGGCGGGCGGCTCCCTGCCGCGCTCCCCCCTTCTCCTCCCATCCCGCCGGGGAGGCGGCGGCGAGGCCCGGGATGGCGCTGCCGGCAGCCCCCTCCCCAATGTGCCGCAAGCCCGGCCCCTCCGCTGCCCTTCCCCCCCCACCCCCGGGGCGGGAGGGGGGAGTACCGCCCGCCGGTGGGCGCCCACGCGAGACCCTCGCTGATCCCGGCCCACCCGCAGCCGGGGCGGGGGGGGGGGGGGGGGGGGAAATCGCCCCTTCCCCGCGCAGCAGGTCTCGCCTCGCAGGAAGGGGGGTCCGCGCCTTTTTTTCCCCCCAAAGCTGCCGTCACCGGTGGTGACGGGGAAGCCTCGGTCGCCCACGCGGGCGTCCGGCGCTCGAGTTGGGCACCCGCAGCCTCCCGCGTGGGACAGTTTTAATCGCCAGTTGCAAGAAAAACAACTGCGAGTTGCGTGAGAAAGTGTTTCCTTTTTGCTGCAGTTTCACACGTTACTATCACCACCTTCCCTCTTGGAGTTTTAGGAGGGTGGGGGGGGGCACAGGGGCTGGCAGCCACCGCCACGCTGTATCACAGATCCCGAGGACAGCGCGGTTTTTGTTGTTTTTTGTTTGGTTGTTTGTTTTTTTCCCCCCTCCCTCCCTCCCCCCAATTTTTCTAGGAGCTTTCCCAGGCCCTCTTCCCTTCACCCTCCGGACCTCTCCTGTCTAACAACACCCAGACCCAGCTCCTCTTGAACTGGCCCCTCTGAGCAAATGGGATTTCCTGAAGCTGTGGGTGGCCCCTTTGCTACCTGCCACCGGGCTGTGAGAAAACATAAGCCAGGTCAGGCTTTCCCCCCCCCCCCGATCTTGCCACTTGACTTTTCCACCCTCAAAGTGACATTTGTCATTCAGCGCAAGCATCAGAAGCATTTAATCTGCACAGCTCCTTCTTTTGGACACAGTTTCTAGAGATACCATCATTTTTATGTTTGCTGCAACTATCTGAGATTCCTTTCAGCTCTAGACAAGCCGAGGGGAAAAATTTAAGTGTAGCAAAGTTAAAAGATTTGGTTACAAAGTTGAAAAGGACAAAAATAACCAAAAAAGCAACAAAATGAAATGCCACCAAGTTAAAATGTACTAGCATCAATCCCTGGTTCAATGACCCCCAAGGTTTTGCTGAAGCATCCCTATGCTGTGGAAGCAAGCGGGACAGACCCAATTAATAGAATCCTAGTTTCCAAACAGGACATCACCCTTTGCTCCTGGGTCTGCCTGGGGATTTTCTAACCACTACGGAATAATAGTGGAGCTTTCAAAATGTGTCTCAAAAAAAATCCCCTTGTTTCCCCACTCACTATGCTACAGCCTTGGCTCAGGGCTGCAACGCCTGTAGCAACACCAAGGGAAAAAACCCCCAAACCTGTGGCTGTAAGGTACCAGCCCCTGCAAAATATGGAGGGACCCCCGCAGTACAACTTCTTCATAGGTTTTCCTGTGTTATAGGAAGTTAAATAAATGGCCTCCATACACTGACACGGTCGTGGTTTTCAAATCAGACTGAAAAGTTGTTTTTCTCATGGTTCAAGGGTCTTTTTCTCTCCAGCTCCTTACGCATCTCAGGGCAGCAGAACTAAAGAACGCCCACGCGGGGCTTGTTCAGCCTCTCGCTCCGTCCCAGCCCTCCCACATGTCACGCTGGGAGCTTCTGCCACCTCCAGTAAGATGGGGCACGAGGCAGTCCCCCTTTTTCACAGTCCCCACTCTTTCAGTGCCACACTTGCCTTTCTGATTTTTTTTTTTTTTAATTTATTATTGTTTTCTGGCCACAGAGGAAGAGCAAGCAGAAGCACTCATGAATATAGCTGTGATTATGTCCTGCTCTCTTTTTTGACCCATCAGCATCGGCTGTATCGCTTTATATCTGCTGAGATGTATGATATCATAGCTTGTGTTTTATAGCAAAACACCAACTTTAATTTCACATCATCGCTTCCATCATTTTGGCTCCAGTTTCTCTGAAGCTCTTCAAAGTCCTCTTTGGACCAGAGTCAACCTCAATAACATGTAAATAATTAATCATTTAAATAAATAACATGCCATCTGCAAATAGAAACTCACTCCGAATGCGGGTTAATAAATATGTTAAATAACCCAGACCAGAGTACAAAACCTTGAGCCACCTACTGCCAACCTTTTGGGGGAAGAAAAGCAGCTCCTGATATTTATAGGAGCAGCAGGATTATAGCTCCATTGACCCTCAACCCTGCCGCTGCGCAAACACAGGAGGGAACGATGGTCCTCGACCCCTGTGGGCTTTTTTATTTAAAATAGAAGAAATAAAACAGAGAGCAGTGGAAAAGAGAAAGTTGTGCTGGTCAGTGGGATAAGCAGCAAACACTGCGTGCAGCAAAATGCTTCAGAGCCTACACTTCATTTTCTCTTGGCCCATCTCCACCCTTTGCCGAGGCTCAGGCTGCCTCGAGGCACCGCTGGAAACAGCCCCATAAACTACTGGATTCTGGGGGACCAAGGACATTATTTGCAAAGCCCAATAAAAAAAAAAAAATAAAATTGCAATTACGGGAATGCAATAGGAAAATGAACTGCAAAGTGTCAAATGCTGAGAGAAAACCAAGAGGGGTGATCCAAGGCACCGAACAACTTCTGCTGAGGCCCTGAGCCAGGAGAGACACCACCGAGGAGGTGGGCGTGATAGATTTCGAAAACTGCACCAAAAACACGGCGGAAGCGTACAAACAGCAATTTTCACTGCCTTTTCCAGCCAAAAAACAACTTGGGGACATCAAATTAACCTGGTGGCAGCAGGAGGACTGGAAGTCTAAGCAGCTTCAGAAAGCAATTTGATAAAATTCACGGGAAAGATGCCTCAAAGCTTGCATTGAGCACCAAAGTGCCGGCTGCAGCTCCGGACGATGCTCCAGGAGGAGCCTCTGGCTGCACCCAGCCGGGCCTGGCCCAGCACGGCTGCTCTCGCCCAAAATAACCCCTGGTTTAAAAATTAATATGAGATTGGAGGAGGCCTGAGAGAGAAACGGTGTGTCCACAGGATTCACCGGTGGTTAAAGAAAGCACTTAGGCCGCAGACATTGGTGGAAAAGCCAGATGTTACCCTCACGTCCATTTTCATGGGCAGGCAGACTGAGGAGGTGCCTGTCACAGTTTTTTTTCTGTTTTTTTTTTTTTTTTTAAAAAAAAAAAAAAAAACAAAAAAAAAACCAAAACAAAAAAACAGAACAACAACAAAAAACATTTACACCAAGAGCTCCGCGGATGGCACCCTGTAACAGGGTGGTTTAAGAAGCCAAGTCCCGCAGCCCTGGGGCTGAACACGGTCCCTCCCCCAGGGGCTGCGCGCCGCCCCCACCCCAGCGCCGGGCCGCGCGGCCTCCGCGCAGCAACCGCGCAGCCTCCGCGCAGCAACCGCGCAAGGGCCCGCGGTCACTTTTCCCGGCCGAAGCGCGGGGCGGCGCGGCCCGGTTCGGCCCGGTTCGGCCCGGTTCGGCCCGGTTCGGCCCGGTTCGGCCCGGCCCCGCCCCGCCCCGCCCCGGCGGCAGGAAGCGCGGGGGGGGGGGGGGGGGGGCAGCGCCCACCCCATCCGGCGGGCTGGCAGCGGGGGCGGGCGGTGCCGAGCCGCGCTCAGCGCTGCGCTTCCGCGCGGGTAAGCGGCTGCGCGGGCGCGGAGGAGCCGCGGGGGGGCCGGGCCGGGGAGGGCTCTGGTTACGCTCCGCGGGGAGGCTGGGCTCACACACACCCCCCCCCCCCCCCCCCGGGCACTCCGCGCAACGATTCTCAGCCGAGACAATAGCAAATATCGGCGTTTATTTGCGCAGGGGCCGCCCAGGGCTCCCCGTGTGCGCGGCCTGCGCCGCCGCGGAGCCGTGGCCTGAGCGCGGGGGGAGCGGGGCGGGAGGAAAACACGGGCCGGGGTCCGCGCAAAAACGCGAGCCGGGGTTTAAAGTTGCTCCCGATACACGCCGGAGAGTGGTTAATTTGTAGGAGAAACGGCTCCGCCTGTCGCTGGCACAGCCAACAGTCCCGGATAGGTTTTAAGCTCGTGGAACGGGGGTTTGGGTGGAATCGGCAGGAGAAATCATGAAATCGGGGTGCAGGGACCCTCTGGAGGAGGGGAGAGGCCCTGCGAGGCCGTGCGGGGGGCCCGTCGCGTTTCAGCGGTGCGGAACCCACGTCTGAGCCTTCGGGAGCTCTGGGATTTCTTCGGGAACGCGCTGAAGGTCTTGTTCCCCCTCCCGCAGGCTCACGCCATGGGCACGGCCAGCCACAGCGTCCTCCTCCTCCAGCAGCTGAACATGCAGCGGGAGTTCGGCTTTCTGTGCGACTGCACAGTTGCCATTGGAGATGTTTACTTCAAAGCCCACAGAGCGGTGCTCGCTGCTTTTTCAAACTATTTTAAGATGATATTTATTCATCAGACAAGGTAAGGACGCACAGCCCTCCTCCTACTTGTTAACCGCTCTGCTCAACTTTCTGCTTTTTCCCCTTTCTAAAGGTATTAAAGTCTAAAAGAGCGTAAGTGGGGGATGTCAGATGGCCTGAGATTATTTTCCTAACCCAGCACACCCCTTGGCTCTCTAAACATTCCCAGTCTGGAATGTGCTGCCCTTTAAAGCCACCCTCTTAGTCAGCACACGCCAACACGAGGCCCCGCATTTCGGAGATGAGACACTCGTGCGACCAGAGAAAATAAACGTGTAAGTACTGCAGTGCTCCTGCAGCGAGAGCCTCACAGGTTGCAGCCCAGGGATACCCAGGTACCTCCTGCCACACGCAGCGTGTCCGCTGCTTTGCGTTGCTTGTAGGCAGCTGGGTGGGCCTGTCCCTTCTGGCAGGATCCACCGGCTTGAAGCAATCGAGCAGCCGTAGCCTTATCACAGTGCTGCGCTTCAGACTCTTGCAGATAAGGGCCAAGGTGGAGATAATCAGTTCAAGCTGTTGTTCAGATGCTTCACCCGGCTGGGTCAGGAGTGGTTCTGCAGGTATAACGATGGCAGTGCCAAGGTCTGATCTCACCCCTGACCTGGTGCTTGCTGCTCTTAATCGATTAAAACCTTCTCCATCCCCCTTCTTTTTTGAGGGTCGTGGCCCCCAGCACCTTTTGCAAGATAATTGTTGACCATCGGCCACGCAGCCCTTCAGCTCGAAGTGAGACCATCAGTTAACTTCCTTGCCGATAGATGTTGTTTACTGACACTTAAGTGCAGAGCTCATAAAGATTACGCAGTAGCGGCAGCTGGATTTATCGCTTAAGCACACAGATACTCTTTGCCTGGTGTTACTGGAGTGGCACAGGGCGGTGATGCGTGGCTCGCGTGGCACCGCTGCGGTGCGGCTGTGCGGGCGAGTGGCGGGGTGAGCGGGAGCTGAGCCCGTCCCTGGCTGCGGTTGTGCGCGTGGTCGTGGGAATCGCAGGGATCAATACACGCTCGGGCACTTGGCTGTGCTAAGAGGGCACGTGGACTTCGGGTCGAGGCGGGCAGCGCCGCTGGTGACGCGGGAGGCAGGCAGCAGCGCACGCGCTCCCGCAGCGAACGAACAGGCAGGTAGTGGATGGGGACTGTAATCTGGAGCTCTGCATGTTTTTAATCGTCTGTCTCCTTGCAGCGAATGCATAAAGATTCAGCCTACAGACATCCAGCCTGACATATTCAGTTACTTGTTGCATATCATGTACACTGGGAAAGGACCCAAGCAGAACGTCAGCCAGAGCCGACTGGAGGAGGGCATCCGCTTTCTCCACGCAGACCACCTCTCCCATATCGCGATCGAGATGAACCAAGTGTTCTCCCCAGAGCCGGTCCAGTCGTCAAACCTGTACGGGATCCAGATCTCGAGCGCACACAAACCGGCGAAGGAACGCCTGGGAGCGAAGGAGAGCCTGCCCAAGGCGGGGGGCAGGTCCGCTGCCCAGGGCGAGCACCCGCAGCTGCAGCTCTCCCTGGCCATCGGCCTGGACGACAGCTCCCTGGACCAGCAGGTCGCTCGCCCGCCCGCTCAGCCCGCTGCTCTCGCCAAGCCGGCAGAAGAGCGTCCGAAGCTCTCGGTCTCCATAAAGCAGGAGAGGTGCGACTCGGAGCCCGTGGTGTCCCAGAGCTGCACCCCTCCTTCTCCGGAGGTAGCAAGCCCCGTCCTCGCGAAGGCCAGCCTCAGGGTGCACTTGTGTCACTACTGCGGGGAGCGTTTTGACTCCCGGGGGGGCCTGCGGCAGCACTTGCACACCCACGTCTCGGGCTCGCTGCCGTTCGGCGTGCCGGCCTCCATCCTGGAGAGCAGCGACCTGGGGGAGGTGCAGCCTCTGGCTGAGGACAGGGAGGCTGGGGACGGCCACCGGCTCGGCGCCTTCCTCCTCAAGGACGACGAGCACCCGAGCTGCAGCGACCTGGAGCCCCTGCAGATCGGCCAGCTCTCCCTCATCTCCAAGGACCACGAACCGGTGGAGTTGAACTGTAACTTTTCTTTCTCGAGAAAGAGAAAAATCAGTTGCACCATCTGCGGCCGCACGTTTTTCCGGAAGAGCCAGCTGCTCGAACACATGTACACGCACAGAGGGAAACAGCACAAATACGGCCGCTGCCAGCGGCTGGAGAGCCCCACCACCCCCAGGTTTCATCCCTACTGTGACAGCGAGAGCGTGGGGAAGAGCTCCGGCTTATCCCAAGACCACTTGGATGAATGTATACTGGAGTCGGATCTCATCCAAGAAAGCGTTGATACGATCCTGGTAGAGTAGCTCTGCCCCTGTGTAGCCTTCAGATGCTGAAAGTCTGGATATTGTGGCATTTTCCACCTAGTAAGCGGCTGCCCCCCTCCGCAGCTGATTTTCTTCAACCACCATTCCCATCACCTCTGAGATAACTGTGAAGAACTGCATACTTTGATTTGTGTGCTTGCTTTTTTACTTCTAAAACTTTAAAACTCAAGCTAATTCCCATCTAAGTCCTTCTTGGAAGCCTCTGTGTAACTCAGTTATATTTTTTGTAAATGCAAACTTACTCCTGCTCCGCTTTACTAAAGTTAAGACCATATTGCTAGGTGTGAGGTTTAAGCATCGTCTAATGCGCTGTGCAGTGCCTAGGACTGTTTGTGTCCTGTAGAATTGCTCTTCTGAAACTAGATGGAAGTGTAGAGGGAAATATGTATTGTGTTTCTCAAACAGTTTGTTTTTGATTAAAATAAATATCTCAAGGAGATGAATCCTGAAGTTCGTGTTGTATAACTGCAGTTAATAAATCTCTGCATAAATACATGTGGGAGCCACAAGGCTGGTCTTTTCAAGGGAACTTGTGGCGTTGATGTAGGGGTGGCACCCTTCACTTTGACAAGCCCTGGAGTCCTCATCGGTAGAATATTTTAAATTTACTTTTAGACTCAAGGGGTTTGCATGCGTTTTTCCTCATTCCTGTTCTTCCCTTGCAAATCACTACTGCATGAGCAGAGACAAATTCTGATGCTCCTCTAGGACCATGTCCCATTATTGGATTGTCTTCTCTGCAAGGAGGAATGAATGCTGCAAAGAAGTGTCCTCTCCTCTCAGAGAAGAAGCACATCCTAACCAAAGCCTTTACAGGATTAAATATCACACATGGATTTTTCTCAGTGAAAATTATTTCTGTTTCTATAAACGGCTTGGAGCAAACACATGCTTAAATATTACAATCTGTGTATTTGCTAAGAGCAAACATATAATGTGTTATTTCTTCTCTGCTTGTGGAGCCACCATAAAATGGTGAAACACAAACTTTTTGCCTTTCATTTATCATTACTTGATATCTGAAGAGTAGGAACTTATCCAAGACGGGTTCCTCTTGGCTTCGTATTTTGTCCTTCTGTACTTATTTACCTGAGATACCCCAGGCTTCCTACCAGATGGTCTCCAACCCATCCCTCAAGAGATGCTCTTAATGAGAAGGCCCCAAAGAGGCACACAAAGTTTTTACAGCACAGAAGTTTCTTTTGCAGGGAAGAGCGAAAGCCTTGCGAGCTGCTCCCGTAATCTCATTACCCAGTTTTTGAGAAGCTGGAGGCTCCCTGCCAGTGCTGGGGGAGTTGAGTCATTGCCGTCGGAAGGGGGGAGCCTGAACAATGGTGAGAACAGTTTATTGTCAGAATGCCCGCTCCAAAGTTCTTTGTGCTCAGGACCCTTGAGCTCTCTTTGAAACTGTCCTGGAGCAAGAGCTGCAATTAAATCGCTGCCGAATTAAAAGACCATCTGAGGTCTTTTTAAGGGCGGCTGCTGCTTCTCCTGGGCAGGGAGCTGCACACTCCAGGGGATGGATTGGCCACTGAGGGCTGCCAAATTGTGTTTTAAGACAAAGGGGAAAAACAAACAGCCTCTGAGCCTCCCCAGATGATGTTACAAAAAGCACGCTGCGGTTTGGTGTGTGCTTGCCTGCTAGACTGAGTGCTCCTCTCACTGTGTGTACCCATTAAAGCTGCTCTGGTGTGAATGCTTTTTAACTCTGCTTAAAAAGCCTTTCTTTAAAAGAAGCAAACAAACAAAATCCTGCCGACATCCAGGCCTGCAAATGCTGCATCCGAGCATGGAGCAATTCACGTGGAGCATTTCCTAGAAGAGAGCCGCCTGGGTCTCTCGCAGCCTAATAGCATCAGCTAAATCACATCCGGCACAGACTGCTTACAACTGGGGGAAATGGCCTCTGGCTTCCACTGACCTCTATTTCTACATGATGGTTAGAAAAAAAAAAAACCAAACCAAAACAAAACAAAACCAAACAAATGGTATTTTATAGCCATTCCCTATTTGTGTGCAACACTTTACCGAATGGGCTGGCTTTCCTGGGTGCTGCTTGCTTCACTCAGGTTCCTACATTTAATTTATGGACAGAGAAGAGTGTCTGCTGGGTTGGGTATAGCTGTAGAGAAGAGCTAAAAGTGAGTTTTCAGACTACTAGGTCAGTAGATGAGCACCTTGGAACTTCGGCTAGATGCCTAACTCACCTGAACTAATTGATAATGAAAGTCAAACGGCCCTTGATGTCTCTGCAAAGATAACGGGGCAGTGGTAATAGGGCTCAGCACTGGGGACAGCAAGGTGGGGACAGCAAGCAGCAGTGCCAAAGGCATCTCTGGGACATGCTGCTCATCTTCAGGTTTGTGGGCAGGATTCTTTTGTTCACTTCTTGGTCATTGAGAGGGAGCTTTAATAAAAACTATGAACTATCAGCTAGATGTGTGTTTGTGTTGTAGGAATGACTCCGTTGTACTGACTGAAAATACATCAGTAGAGCTGAAATCAGACTGAAATCAGCACGTGCTCAGTATGTCTTTGAAAAGTTACAACTGTAAGTGATTTTTTTTTTTTGTCGTCACACCCCTTTTTAGGGTAAGCTTTATGGTACTGAACATCTGTGACATCAAACATTTGTGAAAGGCATTTTTTTGCATCATTTGCAATATAAGAAATGGATTTTCAGCAGTTTTCTGCTGCAAGCATTGAAGTGCTGTTACAATTAAAACAGTAGAAAAAGCCTGAGAGACAGAGGTTGTCAGCTCCGAGTTACGTTAAGTAAAAACATCATTCTCTCTAAGTCTTATGAATAGAAAATAATTTTAGAAGGCCATTACGTCTGCTAAGCAAGGACAGCAGCTGCTCCTGGATACATCATAAGAGGTTTTACTACTGTATGTAGAAGACACTTGAATTACCAAGTGCTTAACCTTTATGCTGGTATATGCTTGAAAATCTGCCTGACTTGCACAGCCGGGCTTGGCAAGTACTCATTATTTGTGTGTTTTGGTTTTTTTTTTTTTTAATGAAAACATAAAAGGATTTGTCACAGTGTGTAGGATAACAATACTGGTGATACCTTCCAGATATCTGCGATGGGTTGGCAGATGCACATGGGCTTAGGCAAAGACAGCCCCAGGGTGGTGATACTCGGAGGCTGGAAATCTAAAAGCTCCAGGGGATCCCCAGAGCTTTGCCTGGTGCTGCGAAGGGATCCCAGCGTCAAGGGTGCAGAGCCAACAAAGCACAGGCATCGAGGTGCCTTGTCTGTGGGCTCTGCTACTCATGTTTTATGAAAAAATGGGAAGATTGGGGCTCAGACCGTGCCAAAGCCCTGTAGCATGAGCAGATTCCTCAGTCAGCTCAAGTTAACCTCTGAAATGCCAGTAAGTGCTGCAGTGGCTACCATCACTTTCACATATATCTGGGTGCTGGCCTGTAGGTTATCTGGCTCAACGGCCAAAGTATGCTAAACAATTTTGAGATAGGTGTTTTGGAATAGTTTTAGTGCTCTGATGCTGAACGGGCCAGGTCCAACAGGGGCCATGCTGCTCGGGCTGCTTAGCGTGCAGCAAAGGGTGTGGAATAAAGGGCATTTATCCCCCTCCTTGCAGCATGGGGTCTAGTTATTTTACTGAGAAACTTATTTTCGCCACCTGCAGTGCTGTCTTGGCAGCACTTGTGCAATGAAAGCATTAGGCTGAACTTCTCCTGCATTACTGGTGCCAGAGGAGTGAGACTTGGATGCCTGTTGCTTGCACAAGTCATCCTTGGAAGCTTGAAAGGTAACCCGTCCCCTCTCAGCATTCACCTGCAGACGTTCAGATTTTTACCTCTTCCACCCTGAATTTTTAGGTGGCTGGGGGAGAGCAACGCCAGCACTCGCCTGCCAGCTGCCCAGGAGGTGATGCTGGCGGCCGGGCTGTGCTCGCCCCATCTCCACACAGGATAAAAAAAACCTTCAGCTCATTTTACCTTCTGCACAGACTGGTCACAACATGTGTCTTCAGCCATCTGGTTACACCAGCCATTCAGGCAGGCTCTTTGCTGACATGTCATCTGTCAAATCACTGCAAAATCGGGCGGCAGCAGCATGCAGGGGGTGCGGAAGGGCTGACAGCCCATCCGTGGGAGCGGTGCCCCTCACCAGAGGGGTTGGGGACATTTTTGCACACTGAGAAGGCTAAAAAGGGAAAAGAAATTTGTGGCCAGGGTGTAAACCTGAATCAGTGAGCGCTGCAGTTAAAAATAAAGCTATGAAATACCACCATCACGAGCTTTCTAGAAAGAGTGTAATGCTGATACTGAATAGTTTTCTACTATTTTGGAGGCAGAAGGTATAAATCCCATGTAAGCGAAGCCTTCAGAAGTGCAGTGAAAAGGGATCTCAGCAGATGCAATTCAGCATCATTTAATGGGCCCGTGAACTATCAGTGGCCAAGGTGGGAGGTTTCTTCTTGGCTTGTCAAAGCCCTCCCACAGCAATCTGCCCCAGCCTTTTCTTTCCCCCTTTTGCTGTGGTATGCCAAAAAAGACTGCAACTGAGTGGGCTTCCCAGCAGTCCAGCACTAGGAAAACATATTCTGAGCAATAAGATATTGAGAAGAAAAGGGTAATGTGGACGAATATGGCCCAAATTGTGTGCCAGTTAGATATTTACAACCTGAGCTGTGTGAGGACCGAATTCCCCAAGACGCAATCGCAGCATTTACATGATTTGCATGTTTCATTAAGAAAAAAGTAATGACACGACTTCAAAAGCAGCCTAAGAGAGGAAATGTTTCCACTAACTATGCTAAACCAGATGCTGCACCCTCAGAACAAAGGTGCAGCAAAGCTCAAAACCTGGTCTGCAGAATTAGGCTGGTTTTCACCGGAGCTGAGATGCTGCTGGGAAGCTTTGCAGGGCCCTGGGCAGCATGGCAGCCCGTGTGGGGCTTTACCCTCCCGAGAGGCACAGGGTGATGCTGCTAAAGGCTTCCAGCAGCAACGGGGCAAATTTTAGTCCATGTTCCCCCTCCTGCTGCTGGGAGAAACAACGTAAGAAAACGCTGTGTCAAGCCGTGTCCCTCCTGGCGCTGGATTTGCAACGTCCCGGTTGCGGGGCGTAAAGCATCGAGGGGGATGCAGGGGGAGGAACCTCGTGGGCGGCAGAAGCGCGATGTCAACTGCCGAGCCGGTCCCCCACGGGGCTGGTGCCAGTGCTGGGCTGGCAGCCCCACGGAGCTCCGGCCGAAAGCAGCACCGTGCCGCGGGTGGAGGCCGATGCTCAGCGTCACCCCCCCCACCCCCCCTTTCCCCGCAGCCATCCCGGGAGGGACCCGGTCGCCTCTGCCACCCCGCAGCACTGCCGGGCCCAGCAGAGCGGGCGCCGAAGCCTGTCATTAGAGGCCGAGCATCCCCTGCCAGCCCCTGTTTACCCCCGGCCGTGCGGTTACGAGCTGCTTGCTCATCGCTTTAATGAGCAGGGTGCAGGCGCGCGTTCCCGTCGTGCCTGTTGCACACGCCTGCCGGCCCTGCTGCGGCCGAGCCAGCCGGTCCCCCGGCCCCGCCGCGTCGCGCCCCAGGGCTCGCAGGTGCTCTACGAACTTCAGGGGGGGGGGGACGGGGGGGGACACACGAGAGGCTTTTTCCACGCTCCGGCCTCCCCTGCCTTGCTCCGGCTAGGAAACGAAACGCAAATGCAGCTGGGGGCTGTCGGGGCTGCGGGGCTGCGGCGTGCGGCAGCCGCCCGCGCCTCCGTGCCGCGGCAGCCCGGGGGGGTTGCGGCGGGTGGAAAGCGAAGCGGCGGAGGCTGCTGGCAGGAGCGGGGGGGGGTGCGCCGCTCCTCCTCCCCCGTGGGGACGCTCCGAAGCGCCGTAGGAGTCGGAGTACTTTGCGCTTCCCACCCAGCTGCCGCCTCAACCAGCCTCGCACCGCCCGGAGCTGTCACGGCACGGGGCCCTGACGCATCGGCAGCTCGGCCTCGTGTCTTCATTAAAACGGCAAACAGCGAGAGCAAGCGTGACACGAGCGACTGTTGTTAGGGGGCGAGAGGCGACATCCCTCTCAAGGTTGAAATCTGTTCCCTGGGACAACGGCAACGTGATGCTCGGGGTGTGCCCGTGCACCAGGAAGGACCTGGAGCTGGAAAGGCAGCACCTGCAGAAGGGACCCCGCCGGGGCACCCCCCTGGGCAGGGAGGTGCCTCCCCCTCCAGATTAAAGAGGTTTGAAAGGTTGATAACTGCTAGGTCTAGTTTAAGGATGGATAGTGTGACTGCCAGTCAGCTCTAGCTGCAGATGATACTTTCATCTGAGCAATCTGAATTGCAAAATGTGTTTTCCTAACGTCTCCCTCCCTTTTGTATCCAGCATGTTTGTCAGTTTTTATGTAACAAAACCTATTTTAAAATACTGGGATTGGGTATTTTAGCTGAAATCTACTTTCCAGCTAAATGGAGTTTCACCCAACTGCAGAAAAATCCCATTATTTAGCACAGAAGAACTGTGCTTTTCACAATTTTCTGCAAAATGACATAAATGTGAAAGCTGTGCCTCCTAAAAAAATGTTAACCTATATTGTTGCTTAAATAACTGTATAAGAAATAACATCCTCTGAATGTATATATATATATTTTTTAAAAAAATCACATCTAATGTAAAGATTTTATCTGGTTGCAAATGAAAGCACTTCATTATTTCAATGCCACCCAACAAGAGCTAACAAGAACCATTTCTCTGGTAAATAAAACTGCAGATGTAAAATAATATTAAAGCAAATTATTTAAATCAATCTGTCCTTGCGAGCATTTAATTGTTTTGAGTTACTCGTGTTGAAACCCTGTATCTGTAAAACAGGCAATATTAGGGCTTCACTGTACCTCATGCCTGGGTCTATCAGCAGAATCTGGCTTCCATCCATCCACCCACCATCGGCCCCTCCCAAGAACAGAATAGATTCCTGTGTATTTCATGAGTTTACTTAATTTCTTATACGCATTTGTGAAAAAAACGCTTGGATTTTTATTGTTATACATAAGCACACATATGAAAATGTCCATCATTTATGCAAGGACAGCATCTTAAATTCAAATGCTAGATTCCTGGCTGCTGTAGATTTGGTCCTTTGAAGTGTATGGAGCTGCAGTGACCTTCAGTAGCTGGAGATCTGGCCCTAAGCAGCCTGTGCATTTCTAATGTACTTTTAGTGTCCCACAGTAGGAAAGAATATGCAATATTTGTTTGTGCCATCATTGTCCACCAGCAACTTCCAGAGGAACTTTTCAGTGGATACACTGGTTTTCTGCTGGGTTTAGTGTTGACATAACAGAAAAGCATTTTTTATCCCCCTGGAAACCTTCCTGGGCACAAGTTATATTATTTAAACACTCTTTTCTTTGCTGCTAATATAAAAAAGCCGTGTGAAATGTCAATATTCAAAATGACACAGCAAAGCAGCGATAGGGGACTTGTTGAATATAAAGCCGAATTGTCCCCGCTGAGAGGAGCACTGGAACCATCTGGGAGAAAAGCAGCAGCACAGGCCATGGGGTGAGCAGAAGAACCGAATAATTCGTTAAGATGATGCTGCAAATCAACTACTTCCATAATTCAGAGGGGCAGCAAGCAACAAATTCCTGAAGAAGGATCCGGCTGGACCAAAAGCAATCTGAATGGGGTGATAAGAAGCCAAGGTTATGTATTATTCCAGTTTATTTCAGGTGTTGGTGAGGAGTGTGGTCCTCAAGTCAGGCCACCCTTTGGTGCTCTGGCACAGTCAGGCAGTCACGTCCTCACAGGTGGCCGGTACTCCTTCACAATAACAAGTTTATCATGCCTTCCCTGATAGAGTGAATGTTCTATTAATGTTCAACTCTCTAATCATAATGAAGGAGTAGAGAGTCTTAATTAGGTCATTAGCGGCTGTTACGAGTCTCTATTTTGTTCTGTAAACCTGAAAGAATAAATAGTATTAATACTATTAAAAATGTATAAATTTTTTTTTCCGTATTTTCTGTATGTTAGAAATTGCCTTGAGAAACTACATGAAAGAAGTTATGCAATTAAAAAAAATTAAATATTAGTCTGTGGGGCCCATCTGAGCCCTAAGAGGAATGGCGAAGCACTGACCTTGCTGCTCGCCCTCCCGAGGTGCCGGCCCCACCTCGGACCCCGTCAGCACCAAACCATGCACCTGGAAATAGCAGCCCGGAGCCTTGGGAGCAGAAAGCACGAACCAGAGGCTCGCAAAGAAAACCAAACCACCCATGTGGGATCGGCAAGAGTCGTGCCACTCCACGCACAGGCAGGTTTAGACCCTGGTCTGTTTGCAGAGCCTCAAACATTTTCCTCTGGCTGTGTGGGGGCATCCAATTGGGAATTTAATTCTTGGGCAGCAGGACAGCTTTTCACACCCCCTGGAGACTTGTGATCCTTCACAAGTACCTTATAGCAGTCCCTGGGCAGCTGGGACTCTGGTGGAAATGGCTGGCCAGCAACCAAAAGGAAACCTTATAAAAAGAGCTCAGGAGGAGCAAGCCTCCAAAGAATTCAGGTCTGCTACTAACTTTAAGTTTTTGTTCTGCTCATCTCTGCTGTACGGCTCCCTGGAAAAGCTGGACACACACAGCAGAGCACCACTGTGAGTTTATATGTTCATGTGTAAAATCTCTCCATAGCTGCCCACTCAATCACAAGGCGAGAAAACAACGGTTACATTCAACTTTAATGAAATAATTGTCAGTTATCTGTACAGCTACAACAGAGTGAAAAACCAGCTACAGAAAGGATGCAAACACAACCCTGGACGTGGAGCAACAGTCGCAGGGGACAGGCAGGCTGGACCAAAGCATTTCTGCCATTCTCCTCCTCTTTTGAAGATGTGATTCGCCTAAAAGGCCACACAGAAACACAGAAAATCCTCCTGAAACTGCTTAGTGGGCTGACAGAAGATGACAGCCTGGCCTTGTGGGGTCACTTTGTCTTTCTTTACTAAAGCCTGGACATCCTCCTCCGCAGCCGGCACCAGCGCAGCCCCACAAAGATGCTGCGTGGTGCAGCTGTAATCCCATAAACAACCGACCTGCCGTGGTGCCTGCTGTAATCCCATAGGCAACCTCCAGCATCGGTACGGCTCTTCTCGGGGTGCTGCAGCAGCTCCAAAGGTACATACAAAAGTCTTTAAAAAGTCCCTTTCAAAACTATGGCAAAATACCTAGCAGGACCAGTATGAAGTACAAAGCCATTAAAATTGTATACATTGAATTATCAATATCTGATAACTTATTAAATAAGTTCACAGAAAAAGAAGACACTTTTTTTAACATTCTCTGTTTTTTCTTAAGTTTCACTTGCACAGAAACAAGCTGTGGTGGCGTTCACTGTCCTCTTGTAACAACAGAGACGTTTAAACTGTTATCAGAGTTTAAAATGTGGTGGCGCACCAGGTACTAGGAAAGTTTACAGCCCTTGTATTTTAACAGGGATCCAAACCCTACACTGGGAAGGGAAATCCCAGTACACTGCCTATGGTCAGTGAGCAACTGCCAGGCGAGGCTGCTATTTCTGTAGCGGCTGAGAAACACGCAGGAGAATTTTCTCAGAAGAACAGGCTGACTTGCCCGCAGCTGTACGTAAATCCCAGCCACGCAGATGCAATCCCAGATGATTAAAAGGCCCCTTTCTCTTGGAGGGCTGGTAGTTAGAGGCGATGCTCGTACACACACGCTACGCTGGTGCAAACCCCCTTGGAGCAGGGCAGGCTGTAGGTTTTGACGGCGATTGGTCTGTCCGGGAGTTTTACAGCCACGTCCCTGGGTCCCTCCTGTCTCGATTTTTTCCCTGAGGATTTTGATCACCCCGGCATTTCCCTGCATGTTTCAGAGCAAGCTACGTGGCGTGCTGGAGCCAGGCAGAGCCTGGCAGCAGCGAGCCAGGCGTAATGCACATTTCCCCAGGGATGCGCGGGCTCGCTGAAGCCAGGCAGGCTTTGCAGCGAGGGGGGAGCTGAGCGGGACAGGCTGCCGCCAGCCCCCCCGGGTCGCCAGCAGCTCTCACACCAAATCCGAGCAATTCCAGCACCCGCAGCACATCGCAGCTCCCCAGACTATGTCAACACCGAGGCAATAGTTGACTGCTAACACGCATGCAGCTCACTGCTATTTATATCGCATGCCATATATAAAAAAATACGCTTGCATCCGAGGACGGCTTCACCACGACGTCGCGACTGGGACAGAGGAAGGCGAAGGAAGGAGAGGGGCTGCCCGCAGCAGGCACGCTCCTGCCCAGCCCGTGCCACCCATGCCACTGGGAATTTTGCCCGTTGAGCTCAATGGTGTGAGAAGGCCCCCCCTGCTCCTCCTTCCCCTCTCCGCAAATGAAGTGCTGTCGTTTTGTTGGCATTTGTGCAGCCCGGGGTCAGCAAGGCGAGCGGCTGATGCCGTGGCTGGAAGCGCACAGGCTGCCTGTGACAGCAGAAGAGGCTGAACAAAAAAAAAAAAAAAAAAACGGCTCGCTGCAACCGTCCGGCTTCACGCGACAGGACAGCAGGGGTGAACACGGTTCCTGGCACCTGCGCGCAGCAGGTACCTGTTTGCAATACTGAACACCAGCCGGAGCCTGCCTGGCACTGACACCTTCGTGTTAACACTGCAGTCACTTCACCCTCCCTCATCTCCGCCGAACCCCAGGGCAAACCTCCAGCCGCATCCCACGTGCCCCGAATCCAGCCCAGCAGCGGGTCGGCCGCTCGCCGCCTCTTGCGACCTTCCGCTAAACGCGCGGTACGTACAAGATCTGCAGCAGGAACGGGGGGCAAACCTGGCACGGATGACAGCAGGAACGTGGCCTTGACATAAAGATGCCAATAGATGAAAAAACAGTCGCTGCAACACCTTCATTTTTCCGCAGCTGCCGTCAGTGGCACTGTCCGAAGCCCCAGCCCCAGGGGACACGCTGTACGTAGCAGGGCCTGCCCCACGTCCCAGGATCTGTTTCACATAGACACACAACTGAACGGGCATGCAGAATTAACTACACCTCGGCCCCGGGAGCGTTTCGAGCTCTCCGCACAACCCCCCAGGCCAAATGGAGCTTAAAATCACTCCCTGTAATCTTTATTCTGGGGGCATCGCTGCCATCACAGAAAACTGTTGTGTTTATTCTGTTCCAGGGCCATTTCGTTGACCAGCTGCTCTATGGACGACTGAATGGCCGCCTTCACAAGGGAAGACGCGGTTTCTATGAGGAGCAACTCGTACTGCTCCCCAGTTCTGTGCCCCTGGTCGCCCGGACCTTTCTCCTCCGCCTGAGGACCACCACCAGCCTCAGGGCCCTCTTTTTTACCAAAATCGAAGCTCCCGCTTGATTTTTTATTCCCTTTTTGCTTATTTCGGTGCAAAACTGGGGACGGCTCGTAGGCCTGGTCGGAGTCGGTGTTGTCAGAGTCCTCAGCTTCGGTGACAGTGATGACGATGCCGACGCCGGCGCCTGTGTTTGCTTCTAACGTCACCTGATGGCCGGAGCAGCCCTGCACGCTCGCTGCATCCTCTTTAAATGCCGACTGACCGAAACCCGTTACAGTCTCTTCGACTGTGCACTCCTCTGGAAGATTCACGCTCTTTTCTGATTCATCCCCTTCAGGCAGCTCTTTGCAGACATTAGGGATTTCCTGCAGCTCGGTGGTTTCAGGGGCGCTGTCGGGTTGATCCTCAGAAACAGGCGCTTCGGGAGCAACTTCCCCTCCTTCCACGTGGGCAGGGGTTTGGGGCCGGCTCCCTTCCTGCAGTTTTTCCTGGGCTGTTTCGTTCACTGTCTCTGAATCAGTTATCTCCAACTGAGCGGTGCACTCCGTATGTTCCTCCGCGCCAGGTGTGGGCTCTGTCAAGGGCTCACTCTTCCCAACAGAAATGGCACTTTCCTTCGCCGTATCCTGGTCCTCACCCGCAGAGACCGGGCTGAAGGATTCAGACTTGTCTGTTGGGGCTAAATCCTCTGGCTCTTCACTAGCTTTATTCAAAACGCCCATCACTTCGTTTGCTTGAACACTCCCCACCGACTCCTCCACTGCTTCAGAGGGGCTGGGTTTTTTCTTGGCTCTGGAGAACCGTACACAGGGCATCTTCACCCCGGAGCTCGCCCGTTTCTTTGGGAAGCCTTGTGCACAGCCCTCCTCAGCATCCACCTCCAGCTGCACTTGGGAATCAGAGGGCACCTTCTTCCTTGAGGAGGATTTCTGCCTTCCCCGAGGTCTTGCGAGGCTTTTGATGGCTGCCCAGGCTCCTTTGGAAGATCGCGATTGATTAGAAACTTTTGCCTCCCCTTGGTCAGCACTGACACATTGGCTTTTCTCCTCGGAGGCTCCTTCGCATGCATCCTTCACGGTCAGACCCTTCTTACAGGACTTCTTCCGCTTCTTAAAACAGAGCATGGAGGGTTTTTCTGCCTGCTCCTCCAATGGGGAGCACGTCGCCCCCGCACTGTGAGTCTCTACCTCTCTTGGGTTCTCCATTTTAATTTCCTTAGCTGCCTTCACCACATTCACTCCTCTCCCTCGTTTGTGTTACATCATCGATTTTCTTGATTAATGCATCAGACACAAGGACTGCAGAGATGCTCAAAGTGCATTTTTTCCTCAAGTTGTTTTCAAAGTAATGTTAGTTGCTTTTTAATGAGCGGATGTGGCAGTGAAGAGAAGTTCTGCTGAAGCTATCGCATCTGCTTTGTAACTCCCACTTTGTCTGATTACTCACTTTACCACCTCTCCAAGGAATCCCGGGTAGATGTGAAGTTGCACAGGTTTCTCCTTGGCTTTGCTGGCCAGAGTCACTCTCACCTCTGGGACAACCCACTTCAAGTTGCGCTGGGTCTAAGAGCACGGCTATTTAATTGCCAGTCTGACATTACCTTTTTTTTTTTTTTTTTTTTTCCCCGAAAGGATGACAAATCAAGCCAAGAGTTAACAATTTTTATTCACCCCATGGACCTGGAAAGAACTTGCACTTTCTGAGCTATCTGCAATTCCACAGAGCACAGGGAGCTTGATTGAAGCACCAGTAAAACCAGCCGCAGCCAGTGGCTGTTCTCTGCCCCCCAGTGACAAGGTCAGACGCTGTTTTGTCTCAGCTTTGATTTCTGCTTGTTGCCCTCGGAGGTTATGTGAGGTTCGCTGCAAAGCATGGCTGAGGCTTCCATCTTTTATCTGTAACACAACAAAAAAAAATTATATGGCAATATTTTTCTTTTAAAGGATTAAAAAGTTTGGGTTTTTTAAAATTTCATTTTGGAAGGCAGACCAGGGCTGTAAAAGCTGTTCTACCTCTGGATGCACCATCACAGTTTTTTCCACTAATTATCATCAATATCCAAAAGCAAAATAAGCCCACCAAGATGTCAACTCAGTGATGTTCCACCACAGAAAATACCATTTTGCTATTTTATGTGGTAAAATGGGACTTTTTTTTTTAACTGCCCATATTATGGCAAATATATATTACGCATGCACACACATATTTTCTTCTCCTACAGTTAGCTAAATCTTTTTCCCACTGCTCCATATGCACTCATAGTTCCAGCTAGGGAAATTACACCCTGAGACAGCAGATATTTTTATCTTTAATGCACCATATGACAATATGCAAAAACACAGAATACAAAAAGGAGGCTTATGGAATACAAAAGCGAAATCACATGGCGAGAAGGGAGCTTATTTATACTACGTGCGTGCGTTCCATGGCAACCTCAATTAACACTGTACATTTTCATCAAATATACGATATCGTAAGATATATGTCATGCTTTCAAATAAGTAAAAAAATAAATAAAAATGCTGCTTCAAAACATCATCAGAACAGTTTTGGATATAAAGACACCAAACGCCGTTACTGCAAACAGCCCAACTTCTTTGGGACTGCCTCCGTGACTCCAGGCAATTCTTTACACGGCATTTCGTGCTCTGCTTTTAAGTAGTAAGATGATTAAAAGGGGGGTCTGGCGGGGCGCACTCCCCCGTGGCACAGATTTTTTTTTTTTTCTTTTTTAATCAATTACTTCTTCTCTCAATTTAATTTTTTAAAGGGAAGATGAGCTAAGCTGACAGAGGCGTGTGTGAGAGCGAGGAGCCCGCAGCAGTCAGTGCCCCGAGCGCATCCCGCACCCCACATCCCGCACCCCCCACCCCGCACCCCGCACCCCCCACCCCGCACCCCGCAACCCCCGCACCCCGGGAAGTTTCGGGGCGCCGGCGGGTGCCGCCCGTGGGAGCAGGAGGCGCCCGGCACCGCCGCTCCCCCACGAGTCCCGTCCCCCCGCCCCGGGCGACGGGGACCCCCCGAAAGCCGAACCCCCTCCGAGGGGATGGGGAGGGAGGTGAAAGGGGGGGGCGGGGGGAGCTCCTCAGGCAGCGACCGCGGCTGCAGAGGCCGACCCAGGAACCCCACGCGTGTCGCCTCCCCCCCCCGCGGACCCCTCACCTGCGGCCCGGCCCCGCTCCGCGCCGCTCCGCGCGGCTGCGCTGCCACCGCCCCCCGCCCCCCGCCCCCCGCCGCAGCCGCGCCCCCCGCCCCCCGCCCCGGGGCGGCTCTGCCGGCACCTGCGCGCAGCCTCCGCGGAGAGCGGAGCTGGGGGGGCGGCGGGGGGTCCGGGACCTCGGCCCAGCCCTGCGCGGGGGGGGCGGCGTCCCTCCTCCTGCAGGAAAACATCCCTCCCCGTCTGCGGATCAGCACCCCCTTTTCTTTCGGCAAGGCGGCGTCCCTCCCGCCGTGGGGTGGCACCCCCTCTTCTTGCGGGGCAGCGCCTCTCCCTGCTCCTGGGGTTGCACCCCTCCCCTCCCGCAGGGTAGCGGCTCTTCCTTCTGGAAGTGTCCTTGTGGGGCGGGATCCCTCCCTGTGGGGCCGGATCCCTCCTGGGGGGGGGGGATCCCTCCTTGTGGGGCCAGATCCCTCCTTGTGGGGCCGGATCCCTCCTTGTGGGGCGGGATCCCTCCTTGTGGGGCCAGATCCCTCCTTGTGGGGTGGGATCCCTCCTTGTGGGGGGGGAATCCCTCCCTGTGGGGCCAGATCCCTCCTTGTGGGGCCAGATCCCTCCTTGTGGGGTGGGATCCCTCCTTGTGGGGTGGGATCCCTCCTTGTGGGGCCAGATCCCTCCTTGTGGGGCGGGATCCCTCCTTGTGGGGCCAGATCCCTCCTTGTGGGGTGGGATCCCTCCTTGTGGGGCCGGATCCCTCCTTGTGGGGCCGGATCCCTCTTTGTGGGGCCGGATCCCTCCTTGTCGGGGGAGAATCCCTCCCTGTGGGGCAGGACCCCTCTCCCCCTTGCAGAGGGACCGTTGTTCCCCCCCCAGGTCGTGCGCCGCAGCAGCGGGCGCGCAGACCCCCCCTCCCTGGCCGCTCGAGGCGAAGCTGGTCCGAGGGACCGAGCTGCGCTTTTGCGTTTGGACCCCAAAGGGCAGCAGGGCGCACCCCGAGCGAGCAGCCGCGCACCCCAAGGCAGGGGCCCTGGCATTTGCGGACCCGGCCTTGGCCAGGCAGGGGGGGAGGAGGGGGGTCTCGCTCTTGGCAGCTGTGTTTTTCTGTCCCACCTGAAACCGTGGCAGCTTTAAGCACACGCTGCTTGGGGTGCTGGAGGAGCTACACCTTCAGAGGTGGGGGTAAGGACAGCCAGTTGCTGGGTTTAAACTAATCCTCGCCCAACGTGCCAGAGAAAGTGCCTCTTTCATACGAGCCTTTTTTCTCCAAAGCAGCTGAGATCTGACTTAAAAAAAAAAAAATCTCCAGCTGTTATGATTGATGGGAGGGCCTCCGGAAAAGGGACTACCCAGTGCAGCTGATGAACTACATGAAACCATAGTTTGAGATGCCTGAATGTCCCCATTCATCTCCACCCCGGGGAGCTGACTGACGCCCACAAACACTTTTAAGGACGTTAACTACTCCACAGCACATTTGCACGTAAGAAACCAGGGGAAGCAGCAGGCTTTGAACCTGCAAGTGGCATCCAGCATAGGCTAGCCTTAGAAAAAGTACACATGGTGCTCCCCCCCACCCCGCCCTTGCCTTCTTCATGGAAAAAAAAGGTACAAAATGGGTTCGCTGGGCTGAAATGTCAGCCAGTAGGGCAGAAAGGTGGATCAAGTAACAACAGGAATGGCCGTTCTAAAAGCTCCCCTCTGAGACGTGGTTGCTTGCGTCCGATCAGGATAACAATCTTCATTCAGAAGTGGCTTCTCTCCCTGGGCTGCGTGGTGGGTTCTAATAACCATCCGTTTCTGCACCGCCGCCCAGCAAGGCCCCTTGGCGCGAGGGGGTTCGCCCTCGTTGCAGGCGGAGGGCGGAGGGAGGGCAGGAGGCAGCAGGAATGAGGATGGCTGACGTGAGGATGAGGATGGCTGAGGCGTGTGCAGCCTCAGGGGAGGTGTGACATCAAACCCCTTCGGAAACACCTCGCACGGAATTCAATCGTTCCCGCTGCTCCGGAGAAAAATGGTACCACCAAAGGCTAGGGTGCAAGGGAAATAAATGACTGGGTCTGCAGCAGGCAGATGATCTGGCCAGGCGATGGATGGACAAGCTTGAAGGAAGATCCCAGCCCAGCTGTAGGCTCATGTTGTGATAAGTAATAGAAGAATTTTGCTTTCGCTGAAAGTAATTAAACAATTACTTCTTAGGCTAAAGCTATTATTAGTACAATGATCCAAATTTTAAGAAAAGACTTTACTACTGGGAAAAGGGGGGAATTGATCGGAGGAAACACCAACCCAACAGCCCCCCCCCCCCTTGGGATGCTCACCAGATGGTCCATATCACAGGGCAGTAACTCCTTTGCAATGGAATGAGAAAGAACAGAATGGGCCATCTCTGGTATCCCTTGTCCTTGAGATAAGAGGAACTGAAACCACTGAGCCGTAAAAGACGAAGGAGCTGCAAATTGGCCCAGACTTGAAGGACAAGGTGTACATGACCACAGGACTGAAGAAAGATGAAGATAAGATCGTAGAAGGAGCCAGGAGGCGTGCTGAAGGTGTTGAAACCGGCAGCTGGGTGGAGAAAAGGGGGTTTGAAACTTAAACAATTTGGTGAGCCTGGACGGAGCTGCGACTCCTCGGCCACCCCAGCGCTGCATTTGCTCTCTTACCTTAATAAAGATTCATTAATCCATATTTGGATGTGATTTGCCTTAATCTACCTATAACAGTGTTTTCCTTCTGGACCCACACTGAAGTGCTGGTGACGTGCTGCGAACCAGCCAAGCGACACTTTCCCCTTTTTTCTTTTGTCCCTATCGCTAGTCAGGAAAAGCAATCCGTGTTATTTCTTCCATGACGGGATGCAGGACTCTCATTACAGCACAGCTGGAGGAATGGATGGCCGTAACACCAGCTAAGGGCTCTGGGCCCACAGAGAACAAACTCGTACATAATTAGTTTTTTTCTCTAGGCAACAGGAAGAGAAGACAACCTTCCAATATTCAGTTATAAGAAATTAAGCGTCCTTTGTGTCCTATTTGATAGGGCAAGAACTAGCTGGCATATTTAGTTGCAAAGGAGAGAGTTAAGAAAAAACAACCTAGTTGTGTATCAGTCCCGCAAGACCTAGAGCAGGGACACTGGAGAGCTCGCATCCCAGTAGGTTGAAAGTGCAGGCCAGAAAAGCATTCCCCACTAACCTCCAGAGAGGCTGGGGGGCTGTTTTTTGGCCCATAGGAGTGGCTGCCACCAGTCCCGCCGTGCACAGCAAACCCGTCAACAGTTGCGTGCCAAGCCGCTGCCTCGCCTCGCTGCAGGTGGACTAGCAACCTCTTGAGCCAGCTCTCCCCAGCACATGTCTATGATCTCATACTAAACTAAAAGGAGGCTAATCCTAGCATAAATTTGCACTTATCCCATCTTTCATAAGCATCAAACGAAGGTGGAAGGCAGAGCACTTGCAGGAAAGCAGTGTAACGGGGAAGATTAAATGTAGGCACTGACAGCAGACTTGGCAGCATCAGCTCTGGCAACCTGCTCAAGGGAAGGCTTGGCCGGGGTGCCGCGGGCGAAGCGGCGCTTTCAGCAGGCAGGGGCCCTGGGAACAGCCCTCCTGACCCCCCGCAAGTGGCCGCCCCGTGCTCTGGCAGACCGGGCTGCCAGTAGCTCCTCCGCTGAATACCATCAAAAAGAAAATTTTAGGAGGCTGTGAATACATCTCAAATGCTCTTATGATGATTAAAGCTGTTCTGTCTGCGTCTGTGATAACCAGGTAATTTTTATATAATTATTCTCCCCTCTTGAATAACTTGAAGGATGTAGGTCTCTCTCTCTTTCCATATATACATAAACATATATATATATAAAAGCAGTATCTGTGTACTACATATGCACCCTTACGTTGCTGCACACCTACATCCTGATTCTCCCAGTTCTCACCAAAATCAGAATGTTTTTAGATTCAGTTCTGATGCAAGCAGATGGGCCTTGCAAGTCTTGATTCAGATCTTTCGCAGTCAACTGCAAGTATCTCAAATTCACGGAATAATTCAGGTAGTGTATTTCCTATAGATGACACACGTCATCTAGGAAAGGCAACAAGATCAAACGCACACACAGTGGTGCATTGCAGGCAACTTATTACTGCAATAATCACTCCTACTTGTCAATACAAGGATTGCTGCTGTGCACAGTTAATCACAGAAATAAGTTCTACTTCAGTAATCTCAATGCATACATTAAAACCCCAAAAGCACTTAAGAATTTACCAGTTTATTTGTATTAGTTAAAAAATTGGCAGCAATGATATTTTTATGTTAAAAAAATATTTTTGGCCTGCTGACAAAACCTGCTACAAGTGTACTTGATCACTACTCAGGATGTCTCTGTTCACCAAAAAGGTACCTTAGGAAACAAGGCTCATCAATGGTGTAACTGTACTTACTGTTGAGCATAAAATGGTTCAGAAGAGACATTTAGTAGAAGCTATAGACACTGCCCAGAGATCTAGTTCCTACAGATCTGATATCCAGAGGTTTGTTTTCCATTAACAGTAGAATATGGTAGTCACAAGGGAAACCTGATGTGGCTCAGGTGCCTGCAGGAATAATTCACAGCAGAAGCCAGGGTAAGCACTGCTGGAGAGAAATGAGAAGCAAAGGGGATTTCTCCTTGCTCCCTCTTTTAAATGACATTGGTGCAGTTTCAGAGCACAGCGGTTTCTCCCATAGTGTGAGAAGTGGAATATAGAATTCAGTATGGCGAATAGGAATATGCAGTGTACAAGACTTTCAAAGACAATATATGCTACAAAACCACTATGGTTAAGACAATTAAGTCCCAAGACTGTTACAAACAGCTCCAGCTTTAGGATTTTTAATTATTAAAATCATGTCACTGAATCAAAAGAGGTCACTAAATCCAAGCTTCTGTATACTGCTTCAGCTACAATTATGGAGCAGGAGGTTTGTATGGGCAGTATGCTTTATATGCTCAGTGTCAACTAGCTTGGAACACAGCAGTTTAAAAATTATTACAGATTAAAAGTGGTAGATTCTTCAACACTCTTCCGTCCAGTCACTTCTTGCACTATATTCTCAGTCATATCTTGTTTTGACTTTAAAAAAAAAAAAAAGTCAGGGCATAGATCCATTTACATGACTCATCAGGTGTTCTTCTGGGAGCTAAAAAGAAAAATAAATTTAATTACTATTATACAGTACTGCAGGCAACTTTCAGGCTGAATTATAATCAAATGTCATTTGGAAACATATGGCATAATACAAGATTGGCTTAACTCCATTATCGCAAGATGATAAATAAAGTCTAAATATTGAAAGCCTTCAAGAAGGCACCTACCTCTGGTTAAT